TTTTTTTTTTTTTTTTTTTTTGACTGTAAATTGACCTCTGAGCACTGCTTTTGCTGTGTCCCAATTGTTTTGGTATGTTGTGTTGTCATTTTCATTTGATTTTAGGAATGTTTTTATTTCATCTTTTTTTTTTTTTCTATTAAGTGGTTTTTAAGCAAGGCATTATTCAGTGTCCATGTGTTTGTGTTTTTGCTTGCTCTTGCTGTGGACATTAGGGCTTTTGAACTTAAAATTAACAAGAGCTAAATATTTAGTTGAAATGAAACCTGACCTTTTTTTTTCTTTCTGTAAGCATTTGTTTATGTTTTTTCTTAATGCTCACTGCTTCTGAGTTGTCTTTCTTCTTGTTTACAATAAACAAAGTTCTGTGAAAGAATAAAATGATTATTAGCAGGAGGGAAACTTGTGTGTAAAAATGAGGGGAACATAGTATTAACCAAGCTTTCTTTTTCTCTTTTTGCCCCATTTGTAATGTGTTATTACTCTTTATAAAAATTTATATCAAGATCACCAAATTTATTTATACTGCTTTTCTTTTCAAATTCATATATTTTGGTTATATTCAAGATAGCATCATTGTTAAGTTGCTTTGGATTTTATGATTAGTGTCAGACATTTTAATATTAAAAAAATCTATATGGAATTCATAAACTTGATTCCATTTCAGAAATGCAGTTATTAACTCTTTTGGGATCTCTGAATGTGTTATACGATTTAAGATACCATCTGGTGGTATGCGTTTGATACTAGTTGTGTTTTTAACTGCTATCAATCATATATATTTTTTTTTATTGCTTATGAAGGAGAATACGTTTTGAAATGACATGCAAAGACATTTGTTACCATTCCTAATAAAGGATCCTTTATACCTTCCTTTGTGTTTCTTAAAGTAATATGTGTCTTTGCTTTGTTCTTTATTAATATAAGCTGATTCTTTCATAAAAACACAGTGACTTTAAAATTGGTTTCTTCAATTTTAAGAACTCACTTTAGTTCTCAGGAATTTTTAGATATTCAACATACCCTTAAGATCCTAATTACATAAATTTTTCATTTAGTTTTTAAAAGGTAACATTTCATTGTCTGTTTGGAGATCATGCAATTAATAGGAGATTATAAAAAATCATAAACATGAAACAAAAATTATTCATTTGAAATTCTCTTCCTCATGTTTTAAACATTAAAGGCCAGCTCCTTCAAAGGTAGAACTTAGCTTTCTCTTAACTACTGCTTTCTTTTTCTTCTTCAAGAGATAAGCTGTAATATTTATTAAATATATATCAAAGCTAGGGGAAAGAAAATAAAATGTCTGTATTATTGATATGAAATATTCACTCCATTTGAGAGTCTGAATTTATGAAGTACTGAAAACACGTGAGATTTCTTTAGCCTCTTACACAGTCATCTGTGTCTGGTAAGCTTAGTATATTAAGGGCATTAATAGCAGTGAGCCAAGTTATAGGTTCTTTTCCCACTGTGATCTGCTTAGCATCCTCAGATACCCACACTTCTGCTCCAGACAGTTTATCTGAGAGTGGGGGGTAGAGGAAAAAATATATATATGTGTGTGTATGTATACAAGGAGCCCTGGTGGTGCAGTGGTTAAGTGCTCAGCTGCTAACAGAAAGGTCAGCAGTTAGAGCCCACGAGCCACTCAGTGGGAAAAAGATGCGGCAGTGAGCTTCCATAAAGATTTGCAGCCTTGGAAACCCTATGGGGCAGTTCTGCTGTGTTCTATAGGGTCACTATGAGTCAGAATTCCACTTGATCACAGTGGGTTTGGTTAGGGCAGTTCTTCTCTGTCCTATAGGGGCCCTATGAGTCTTAATCAACTCAACGGCAATAGGTTTGGTTTTGCTTTTAAACCAAACCCATTGCCGTCAAGTGGAATTTCAACTCATAGCGTCCCTGTAGGACAGAGTAAAACTGCCCCATAGGGTTTCCAAGTCCATAAATCTTTACGAAAGCAGGTTGCCACATCTTTCTCCCCCAGAGTGGCTGGTAGGTTCGAATTGCTGATCTTTTGGTTAGCAGTCTAGCGCTTTAACCACTGCACCACCAGGGTTCCTATATGTGTATACGTGTGTTTGTATATATATACATGTATGTGTATACACATATACACACATGTATATAATGTATGACTGTATAATGTGTATATATATATACATATATAAAATGTAAGACTGAGGTGAAAAAGGGAAGTGTGATTTAATCCCTACCACTCAGGTCATCTGCTAACCTGAAGATCGGCGGTTCGAATCCACTGGCTGCTCCTTGGAAACCCTATGGGGCAGTTCTGCTATGAGTTGAAATCGACTTGACGGCAAGGGTTTTTTTTTTTTTTTTTTTAACTCTGGTCATCTAAGGTACGTGGCCTAATGACAGTGTGACACTCACTTTATTTTCACCCTGTGTGGACTAGGGAGCTTCGGTGGCCCAGTGATTAAGAGGTCAGGCTGCTAACCAAAAGGTCGGTAGTTCAAATCCACCAGCCTATGGAAACCCTGTGGGGCAGTTCTGCCCTGTCCTATAGGGTCACTGTGAGTTGGAATTGACTTGATGGCAATGAGTTTTGTGTTTGGTTTGCAGACTAGTGTAAGGGTTAATATCTTGGCTCTCTGGATTAGCATTCTGGACTTGCCATTTCCTTGTTATATGCCACTGGGTAAGTTATTTCGCCTCTAAACCTAAGCTTCCTCATCTCTTCAGTGGTGTTAGTCTAGTACCTGCCTCTCAGGAATGGAGTGAAATGCTGTAACCGGAGCACTCAGCCAGATTATGAATAGTAGCCGTTTTATTATCGTTGTAATCATTTCTGTCATGCCTGTTTTATTGTGGTTATGTAACTAATGTATCAACTATTGATTCTATTATGCTGTTTGTTAATTGGAAGCATATATACCCTCTTCTGTTCAGAAAGATGCTGATACATTGTCCTGTTAATGAACCTTGCTTATTTTTGTTGGGATACATCAGAAAAATTTCATCTGCCTGCCTGCAGTATGCCTTCTTCTTCTTCGACACTGATGTGGATTTTATACATTTCTCAAGAGCAGGCTCAAGCCTGTGCCCTCAGGGAAGATTTCCTTGACCCCTCAGAGAACAAATTCTTTTTCTTCCTCTAGTTTCCAGTAGCATTTTATTATTTATGCCCTTTATTTAATGTTTATCATGTAATAACTTGTCTCTCTCAGCTAGATTGCAAGTTCCTTGAGGGAAATCATTGTTTCTTACATTGCTTGAAAAGAGCCTTACTATGTGTCCCAGTGCCTGCCTGTAATACACACTTAATGGTTAGTTAATTTATTTGATTTTATTTTTATCAATATCAATAAAATATTAATGAAACCTTTATGTTACTATGGAAAGTTTGAAAGTCTTAGAAATACTTTTAAAAAATTATTTTTGTGTAAGGAAAGATTAAGGCTGCATTCCTTCTTTTTTCTAATTTCTCTGTCCTAGAAATAAATACAGAAAAACACAGTGTAGCCCAGTGTTATAACTTAAGAATAAATATCACATGTGACATTGTTCAAGCTAAATCCCACGTTTTTTCACATGAGCCACTTACAGTCAAACTACTGCCAGCTATTAGTGTATTTTTCTTTCGATTGGCTTCTTGATGAAGGTTGTAATTTATAGTATCCCTTATTGTGCTGTTTAACCTGTTTTACC